TCCGCCCACCCCTCCGCCCCCACCAGCACCCTGCTGTGGTCACACTCAGGTTCAGAGCAGCTCTCGACCTTCGTGTAAATTAAAGAATTTCTCCCCACTCTAAAGCCAAGGAAACACAGTGGAAACACATGCTGAATAAGGCAGAGTTGAAAACTGGTAATGCATTTCTAAGGTAGGCAGAGCTGCTGCCAGAGAAAACTAACTCCAGGGCGAAGGAAGTCCTTAGCGGACCGACAGCCCTCCCGCGGCGCTCGGCAGGCTCCTGAGGACCACCGCTTCTGACAGATGACCCACCTGCGGCCCCTTTTGCCCTTCAAGCCGCCGACTGCATTCGGGATGAAAGATTTTCTTATCACCTCCCATTTACCTGGCTAGGCAAGGAGCAAGTTAAGAAAAAAAAAATAGAAACCTGAAAAAGGGGAAGGAGCGAGGCTCCCCCGTGGCGGCAGAGCAGGCTGACTGCTGAAGGGCTGCCCGTCACCTTACAAAGGACGCGTCTGTAACGCTGCACTGCACGCCACATTCACACCGGTAACGCAAATCCAGCCGAGGTCTTCCTTCAGTGAAGCAGGATCTTGAAGCAGAAGATAAAACCTACTGCACAACCCCAGTATTACTCTGAGTAATTTAAGCCCGGCTGAAGTGGGAGAAGTTTGAAGGTTGCTCCTCTGGTGGAGATGAGCTCAGACAGGACCTCCTGTACCAGCAGGGACTTCTGCTTGAAAAGGGGTGCGGCAGCCTCGCTGGTCGCTGCGCGCGCGTCCCTTTGCAGGGTCACGGCACCAGCCAGGCCGGTTCACCGCCTCTCCGGCGGCAGCCGAGGCAGCCCCACCGGAGCGGCCGGTCTCCGTGGGGCAGCTGGGGCAGCTGCGTGGGCATTACCAGTTCCCCTCACCTCATTCCCACGAGGCTGCAGCAGCAAAACGCAAACCCGTCTCTACAAATCTGGATGCTTTTCCTGGTGATCCAAGCTATAACATTTGGGCTGGAGCCCTCAAAAGGGCAGGATTCCTTCAGAAGCCTGGCATCTATCACACAGCAAAAATAGCAGTGGGCTTTACAGATTTGAGATCAATATGTGCACACCTTAAACCAGGACAAAAGTCCCGGAAGGTCTCCGTTTTGTGGACACGAGCCCGTCTGCAGTCCTGCCCTTGCTCCTCCGGCGCCGGGACCCGCGATGGAGAGGGCGTGGGCAGCCCTTGGGGGAACGGGGACGAATTCCACACAGGGGATTTACAAGCCAAGAAAATGCGCAATGAGGAAACAGCGAAGCAAGCAGGTGACAGACAAAATGTAGGTTGATATATTCTGAAATATTTGACCTTTTTTTTTTTTTTTTAAAAAAACCCCACAGCAGCAGTTTTTGATGTCGGGCAACGTGTTTTGGAGCAATGCAGAGCAGCCAGGCTGAGCACGGGTCCAGGTCGGAAAAGGTGGGAGAAGCATCCCTGTGGAAGAGGCAGGAGAGGCTGGAAACAGCAGCCGTGCGGTCAGTCGGCCTCTCCGGTTCCAACATTAGCTCTCCCTCCTGCTCCTGGGGAGCAGAGAGGGGTTTACTGGGGAGAGCGT